CAGGAGCCAGTGAGTTCAGCGGGGGGGGGAGTGTTTTGTTTTTTTCTTAAAGGGTTGGAGCTGAGGCAGGAGGAGCAGCCATGGAGGGGCTGAGGGAGCAGGGGTCAGGGGGCTCATGCAGAGCCCCCCCATGCGGTGTGGGACAGGGGGAGATAGCGGGGATTGCCCCCCTGCTGGGCAGCACCCAGTGACTGGAAGCTTTTTTTTAAAAGAGCCGGGAGCTGGGGCAGTTGAAGCAACCATGGGGGGGGGCAGGGGGTGCTCAGGGGGCCTGGGGGAGCAGGCAGGGGATCGGGCCTGGCGGGTGTCCCTTCATGGTTCCCTCCTCCCTAACCCTAAACCTAACCCTAACTTAAACCCTCTCCTCCAGCCCCCTTTCCCTTGCCCCCCACTCACCAACTCCGAGTCTGGCTCCAGCTCCCTGCTGCAGCGAGCAGGGACTGCCCAAATCATCAAAGCTCTCTGACTCTTTTCTGAATTGATTCAGACCTTTTTATTGGTCCCTTGATTTGCTTTGTTTTGGAGATTTGGTCACCGAATCAGGGCGATCTCCTCTGAATTGAATCAGCACCCGAAGCTTCACGCAACCCTAGTAAAAGCTATGCTAATGTCACATATTCATTAATAATATTCAAGTCAGGAGAGAGAAAAAATGGTAATAATGCACACATTTTCTCCATGCTGAAATTGTGATTCTAGAATCTTATAAAAGCATCTAGTATGTGCGGCTCTTGAAAAATAGATTACAGTTCTCAATAGGCCTATCTTACACTTATACAAATGGCTCATGAAGACCCCTTAAGTTACTTAGGTCTTTAGATACTCATAAACAGGGCCATATGAAGGTATGGTACCTTCTTGAATCAACTTGTCAGGTCTTCAATACTAGCTGTATAGATCTAGGGTATCAGTGCGTTAGCTCTGGTTTATGTGGTTCAGTGACCCATGCTAATAACATTTCTGCAAAAAAATGATTTTTAGTAAATTTGATAATGTAAAAGAATCACATTCTCAAATCAAAGTCAGCTCCCAAACATTGTTGTATAAATAGGCTGCTGCCTTTGTTAAGCTATGCCTCTTTGATTATCCAATCAATAGAAACACTTAAAGCTTGGCATGGACATCAGTCCCTTCCCCCATATACCTCTTCCTTTTCCTTTATTTTTCTCTGATTCCTGAATTAGATGGGTCCTTCTTTATCACCTCTTATTGACCTAGTCTCTGATTCTTTCCCCAAGGGCATTATCTCAGCCATCCTAACCAAGTGTACGCAAAATGAAGGATTCATTCCCATCAATAAGAACCTCTGGTAAGTGCTCTGAAATCCAACTAGTAGTATTAGCTTCAATAGAGTTATGTGAAAATGTGCATGTGACTTGCTTATAGGGAATAACATGGAAAATGATGTTCAGTTATAGAAGGTGCACCAGTTACTGTAGTATGGCTGTTCAATTTTATTACTGTGTGACACTTGGCAGTTTCCGTCACAAAGAGTATTTATACATGTGCTCCAGGACTAGGGGAGGAGGCAGTACTTTAATTAGAGCACCCTAAGAGCTGGTCTAATTAAAGTGCCTGGAGGGTCTCATGTATCAGCATCCCTGCGCTGAAAAATGGTGGCTGAAAACACTGCTATTTTTCAGTCCAGGGACACTAATACATGTGACGCTGGAGTCTGCTGGAGCTCAGTAATTACCACACTCCCACAGACTTGATTAATTGAGTCTGCTCCATTGCACTGTAATTACAGCATGTTAGAGCAGCCTTGCTGCACATGTATAGGCACCCATAGTTTAGAATGACACTTGTGGATGGTGGGAGGGAGTCCCTTGTCTGCCTGCCTGTGGAGTTTTGTATCTGCTTCCAAAACATTTGGTGCTGGCCACAGTTGGTGAAAAGATTCTGGATTGGGGGTACCATGGGCTCCTTTGTTATCATCACATACATCTAAGAATTAAAAAAAATAAATTGTAATTAGCTTAAAAATAAAGAGGTTGGGATTTTTTATTTCTCTCCTGAATTCCTTTTATCCTTTCTACATCCAGTTTGTATACATGACTTCTAAGAAGCCTATACCAAAAACAGGTCACATGCTCTGTTGTTGAGAGGGGGACTGCATTTACCCTCTTCATCCAGGGCTGGAGAAAGCTGCATTCTGTCGCTCTCCAGTTCCATCCTCTTTCTGTTCTCCATCTTTCCCAGCCCCCTTTCATCAAAGTCTCCTGCTCACATCCATTCCTCTTTTCCCATGATTCTTAGGTTCTCATAAACTGATAGAGAAGTAGGGCTAAGAAAATCTAAAAGTTATCTAGTTCAACTCCCTGCCTAAGGCAGAATCATCCCTGTCCTATACCATTCATAGTCTAAACTCTATGTAAAACTAGCATCAACTCTGGCACAACACAGACATAACCATGGCAGCCAATATCCTGTTTCAATAAAAGGTTGTCAATATGTACTCAAGAGGTCTCAGGTAGAGGGCAAAAACCTCCATTGTTAATACCAATCTAATGTAAGGGCAGGATTCCTTTCTGACCTCAAATTTGGTGATCAGCCTGAC